GGGGGGGGGGGGTAACACTGATTTTTCGGTTTGTTCCGCAACCGTCACGAAGTAATCTATTTTTTTTTGCTCTTGTCTTGCCGCACACAAAATAAAACTGCTTTAGAGCGGTTCGACTGCCGTCGATCTTTGATTGTCCGACTAAAAACGCTACCAGTGGTCTGCTCTCCGTATTTGGCACCTCAACGATTACTCAACTTCTTCTGCTGCTGTTTCGGAGCATGCGGATGCCCTTACGAACTTAACAACGCCCAGCGGGTGTTCATAGAGGAGTGGTGGGCAGGGGAGGGGGGTGCAAACTGTGCAAGCACGGATTAGTTGACCGAGATGAGCACTACAACTGAGACTGACTACCGTCTCTTGTGTTGCGACACGTGGCGGAATGGGCACATGCTCGTTCCTCCTCGATAGTCTTATGTACTCTTTATCCTAGAACTCATGCCGTGGGCGTTGGTGCTACGTTGGCATGCACTCACGTCTCGGCTGTTATGGGGGGGGGGAGGGGCGCAGATGTCAGTGGGTAGCCCGGAAGATCTTGGAGGGTAATCGATTGAAGTTTTGCGGTGCGGCTCGAGTGTTTACTGATTGTTGTGGCTGTTCTTGGTTGTAATTTCGTTGTTTCTCTTTCCACAGAAATTGAGATTGTCCTTATCTATACCTGCTCGTTCATTCAAAATTCTCAGCATCAGAGTTTGTGACTGCTGCCGAAGCGACAATGACCGGCAGACCTCTTGTTGTGTCTACGCGAACGGCAAGGAGAAGGCGATTTCGCCCCTGACCCTATTCCTTGAAGTCGGTGCGCTTGCTACCACGGCAGCCTTGCGAAACGGCTGCGGCATCACTATCTTGTGTGATCTTTTGAGAATCACCGATCACGAAAGGACCTGGACAGAATAATTTCTTGCGCGTTGAGGCCGACGCCGTTATTCGCGCGGGAAGACACCAAACAAAGCACTGGTGCTTTCGTAGGTTACGGAGGGGAGGGGAGAAAAAGCCGGGTTTCACAAACCGCCATGTTTTACGATAAAAGTCCGAGTACAAGTGCTCGAGAATGTTGGTCCGCTCACTGGGCTCTTGCGCCCGCGCGTTGCTGGCGCCGTTGCGTGTCCTGCGCGAGCGCCGTGGGCACGTGGACACACTCAGTGGCAGCCGCTGAAGCAGTTGAAAAACCGAGAATCATCCATCCGTAGATACTAAGCAACCCGCCTCAATTTTTACGATGGCGCGATAACGCCGATTCTTCCGATGTCCGAAAGTTTTTAGTTGCCTCCGGGAAGTGAGGAGCTTTCAGAAATTATATCGATGTCGTTGGAGCTGGTATGAACCCGACCGACATCTTCCCATGACTCCAGCTCTTGCCTGATCTGTAAACAGGGCACGCCTTGTGGCACACTTCGCTCTCTGCGATCAAGTTGAACATGCCTAGACAAGACAAGGTTTTGCAAGGTTTTCCCCTTTTCGTGACGGTCTACGTGATATTATCTCGGGAATTATATTTTCTCGGAAACTATCCTCTTGGTATGGTCTTAGCTGCTACCCTGGGCGTGGGCGACACACTTAACGAGCGTCTCAAAAACAGACCGAGGGTGTGCTCGTAGTCTGCCCGCAAACTTGCATTCTGGCCCGCTCATATGTTTTTCGCCAGAGCAATTCCCGACAGTATTCGCAGTAAGCGCATGGTACGGAGACTCTTCCTGAAGTGAGGCTTTTACGGTACTCGGAAGGCACAACAACCGGACAACATCGAAACACACGAATAACTGAAGTGCTTACTATTGTCTCCACCACCAGTACTTCTCCGCGGTTGCTGACGTGCTGGTGTCCTCAGATATTTATCTCTCAATGTTTTCCATCACCTGCACACTTGCATACTTGTGCTCGCTTTCCGAGACAAATGAAATCGTCAGCCTTCGCTTGTGTTCCTCACGTCGTTCGGCGTACGCTTTGTGATTGGTGTGGTCATCTTGACCGCACGACCCCCCCCCCCCCCCCCCCCCCC